TGTCTGGGGGATGGACACACTTGAAGCTCAGACTCGGGTTGAGCAAGGGCAATATATGTAACCTAAACATTTATACTCCCATAATATGCTGAAATTTAAAAAAAAGACAAATGGTGTCAACTCGAATGCCTCCTCCAGTGTCAGTGGGCTGATTTTCCATTTGCCCCTTCAAATCCACTTTCCACCCTTATCCACCCTGCTCTGGGCCCCAGGAGGCCCACCCTTAAGGACAGCATCAACGGACAGAGATGAGAGGGCGCGAGGAGTCCTACAGACTGCTGAGAAGCCATGTGAAGTGTGTCTCAGGACCACATGTCCTGGAAGATCAAGGGGAAAGCATCTCTCTATGGCTTTCGCCCCGCCTCCCTTCATCGATCAAAGTTTTGCACTAAGGAGCGTCATTGCTCCCTGCCCTTCCGGGTTGCGCGTGCATGGACATTTTGCAGGCTCCCACGTTCTAAGTTGGGGCAGCAACAGAGAAGCTCCAGGACAGAGGGCAAAAGGCACACAGCGCAGCTCTGAGACACAGCACCGCGAGGTCGTACCTGTACTTGCACCTGTACCTGTGCTTGGTTCGGGGCTATGCAGAGCAGGTCACCATGTGCACCCAATGAATGGAATATGGGCAAAGAGCACCTAAAGAGATACACATGAGTGTCCAGTAGATGTGCCCATGCCTAAAACAGGCACTAGCAAGGGGAATTGGTTTAAATTAATCTTTTGTAGTGGAATGTACGTTGAAGATGTTATCTGAACACCTCTTTGAAGAGGACGTCCTAACTCCCCTCTCTAAAGGACTGTTTCACCATGAGTCACTTCTATCATCCCATTCATTTCCTTGGTGGCCTTGTGGATTGACTTGCTCAGTATTCCCTCCTCTCCAGCCCTTCCCAGCATGCTAAGGCCAGAAGGCTAAAGCCCACCCTTCCTTGCCTTCCTTGCTGCTCACTCCTGGCTTAAGTTCCTCCAATTGGGCTGTCATTTTGCTAGTGTAGATGAATGCAGGGGTGGCCTAATTCCAGAACCATGATTATGTGAGTACCTAAACACTATTGTGATTAAGTTACATGGACTTGTCTGGATTAGAACCCCAAATAGGACACCTTGTCTACTTACTAGCTTGTTTGTTATTATCTGTCTCTCCCCACCTTAGTTTAAGCTCCTTAACACTGGGCACTTGCTTGTTTTTCTTCACTGTATCCACAAATGTATCCACAAAGCCTATCACAGTGCCTGGTACGTAGTAAGTACTCCATGGCTCCATGATGATTTGTCCAATGAATGAATGGATGGAGATGGGAGGAGACTAACGGCATGTGGAAGAGGAGGAGACAGTGGACAGTAAGGCTCATTTTCCCAAACTGGGAACTTTGGAATGCCCAAGAGCTCAGTCCTCACAACTCGTCTCCATTCACACTCACTTCCCAGGTAAACTCATCTAGTCTTGTCAATTTAAATTTATATCTCCAGGCATCCCCCTTGAACTTCTCCTCTCCCCCCACCTCTTTTGAACTTATGATTTTTTTTTTTTGAGACAAGAGTCTTGCTCTGTCATCCTGGGTAGAGTGCAGTGGAGTCATAATAGCTCACTGCAACCTCAAACTCCTGGGCTCAAGAGATCCTCTTGCCTTAGCCTCCCTAGTAGCTGGGACTAGAAGCGCTCACCACAACGCCCAGATAATTTTTCTATTTTTAGTAGAGAAGGGGTCTCGCTCTTGCTCAGGCTAGTCTCGAATTCCTGAGCTCCAGGTATCCTCCCACCCCGGTCTCCCAAAGTGCTAGGATTACAGGCACGAGCCACCGCACCCAGCTGAACTTCTGACTCTCACATGCAACTAATACCCACCACTTCCACTCGGATATTAATAGGCATCTCAACTGTACCATATCTAAAACATAACTCCTAATTTCTCCTCCAAATCTGGTCCTCCCACAGACTTCCCTAAGTAAGTGACAGCTCCATTCTTCCTGTTACCTGGGCCAAAAATCTGGGAGTCACTGAACCCCCAGATTCTTCTGAACCACCTGAACATTGTAAGCCAGGAGAAGCAACCTCCTCCCCCTGGCTAGAGGAGAGCAGCCTGCCCTTGGCTGGAAATCAAGCTAGGATCCCGCTGAGAGGTAGCCTCGCCAGGGGATATTCGTCCTCATCTCTTCTCATTGCTTCTGACCCAGTAACCAGGGTCAGGTCTCTGTGTAGCCTGAGATGGGAAATACAGTCCCTGCTTTTGGAGAAAATAGTTCTCTCACCAGGACCCAGCTAATACGGACGGGAAGGAATAAAAGGCACACGTGTGGGAGTGGGTCTTGAGGGTGCTACACCATGGTGCAAATACAGGGCTGAAAGGGGGTAGTTTCTCAACATGGGAGCACTCTCCTGGAACACGGGACACAACTTCCCGGCCAGGATACCTGGGGCCGGTCCGAATACGCTTCCGGGAGAGCTCCACAAAATGGTCTGCAAAAATAAGATGGGAGTGCTGGGACCACCTTAGCAGAGTTTGGGGATTTTTTTGGTGGTAAATACACATAAAATGTATCACTTTGCTTTATCTATTGTGGTAAAATGTATGTAACATAAAATTTACTATTCTAACCACTTTTAAGTGTCCAATTCAGTGTCATTAAGTACATTCACAATATTGTGTAACCATCACCACTGTCCATTTCTAGAACTTCTCTGTCATCCCAAACAGAAACTCGGTACCCATTAAACAATACATCCCCACTCCCCACTTCTCCCAGACCCTGGTTATTGGCAGAGTTTTGAGAAAGAGGTTAGAAGACTCGGGGAAGTGGGGATGTTAGAATGGGATTGATTATGCGGGACTGGAGAACCCACAAGCCAAGTTCTCCAGGGCAGACCAGAGGGCACCCCCTTCACTGATAAGGTAAGGAAGGCACAGCTCCGGGGCCCCCAGGGACAAGGGGCTCAGTAAGGATTCCACTGAACCTGGAGCTAAACTCTCACCTGGTTTTGTTTTGGGCTTCTCATGCTAGTGGCCCAAGAGGCCAAGAATGGAGTAAGGATACTGTAGGGATAATCAGCTGCCATTAGCATGAACAGCTAGAGATGCTGCGACACAGTGGGGGCAAGGAATAATATGTCTGGAACTCAGGGGAGGCCAGGGATGTCTCTTGGTGCTTCCATGCCCAGTGATGGGGGTTAACAGCCAATTGGGGCGACTAAGGACTTAGACCCCTCAGGTTTGGATTACTGCACTGAGCAATCACCCCAGACCAGCTAAAGCGCCATCTGAAGGTAAGAGAAATCTAGAATGCAATGGTAGAAGAGGGAGATGACGGGTATCAATTCTGGCCTTGGAACCAGTTGCAGCAGTGGAAGCTGCAGCTTCTTCCGCTACTGTTTATGCATTTCAGTCTTGCAGAGACTGCAGCCAGCTACCACCTGGAACGCTCAGCGAGAGACTGGAGTCGGAGTGAGGCATGAGTAAATCCGATCAGTGCAACGGGTGGTCTGCAGGAGACACTTCGGAGCCTTGCACCACTCTCCCTCCACCTGCCTCTGATTTCAGCCCTCGCCACGGTGAGTGGCTCCAGGTGAGCTCAGATCCACCGCGTGCCGACAGTCTCTTGCCTTAAGTACGAGCTGCACGTGTTTTTGCTCTCTGCACCATAGAAGCTGCACGCTACAGAAGCCTGCTCTGCTCGCACGCCCAGAAGCGCGGCGTCAACACCCCGGGGCCAACCCTCCACCAGTGCAGGACGGGGCAGGGGACAACCGTCCCTGCCTTTCACCCTTCAGGCAACAGTGCGGGAAGATGCTCCGTGCACTTTTCAAGGACCCTGCTGAACTCAAGGCCCTGTTGCCCACAGTAACCACACTGACCACACACCCTGAAACTGGCTTTTTCTCCTTTCCTGTGTCGTTGTCCCCCTCCCTCACGCCTGTTCCTCAGACCTTCTCTTAGACAAACCTCATGCACGTGAGTCTTCTCAGGCTCTGATGGTTGCACAACATTGTGAACGTACTTAATGACACTTTAACCCAAGCTAAAACACCTGCTCAGCTTGTGTCCCTTGCTACCCGGCAGTGGGCTCATCCTTTTGAAACATACCTGATCGTTCTTTTTTCAGCTGAAATCCCTCTGGTGACCACCATTGCCCCAAAAGGAAAAGCCAAAGTCCTCACAATGGCTGACAAGGCCTGGCAGTATCCGCCTTCCCGCTGTTTCCTCTCTGATGTCATCTGCTATAGACGCCCACACACGCCTGCCTCAGGGCCTTTGCACTGCTATTTCCACGGCCTGCAATGCCTTCCTCACTGGAAGCATGCTTCCTCACTCTCTTCAGGACTTCTCTCCAAGACTTCCCAGAGTGGCCTTCCTTGATGAGCCATCTCATGTGAAATAACCAGCTCCACCTCACCCGATATTCCCTGGGCCCCCCGTCCTGCTTTAAGTTTTTCACAGCAATCACCAAGATCATAAGTCATCCTTTTTTGGTATATTTTCTGTGTCTTCCTAACTTGGATATAATCTCCATGAGGACAGGGACTCTATTGCTTTTTTTCACTGTACAACCTAGCACAGTGCTTGGCAAATAGTAAGTACGCAGTAAGTATTTGCTGGATGAAGCAAGCAAGAAGACAAGACAAGAGGTGTGTGGGGATCAGACTGTGAACTCCCTGGGCCCCTGGCTCCTGAGTCTGGCCCAGGATGGTGGCAGCTCTTGGTGGCAGGAGGACACCTCTGCGGAGAATTCGCTCAATGCCTTTGCACTCTGGGGCTGTTTCTGTGCTATGATCTCTTTGGGAGCTTATGCCCTGATACTTGTCTCAAAGAATCCCAGGTAAAACCTCAAGGACCTCAGAGCGTCTAGAAAAATAAACTTTTGTAAGACTGGGCCAGGCTGATCCTGAGCAGATGGGAATTTGTCCCCTCCTGGTCCCTGAGGTCCTGGCCATTGCCAGCATGAGTGACCTGGGTCACCTCTGAGTGCCAGACAAGGGCTCAGCTTCTGAAGGATGCTGGCAGTCTGGCCAGGGAGATGACTGGGATCCATCGGGGGACAGGGAAGGGGCCGAGGGTGGCCTCAAGTGTGCGTGAGGGGCAGGCAGGCTGCAGTCCAAGCCTTTGATTCCCAAGCTCTGTGAACGGTCCCCCTACCCCTGCCACATGGCCTAGCCACCCATACCTGGGGTTAGGGGACAGGCCAGCCTCATTCTCTCCTCCAAACGGAGGCAATCCATTCGCTTTACCCTTTTGCCTTTGCAGAGACCTTGATCCTCACGCAAGGCAAGCAGCAGTCCCTGTGAGCTCAAGAGACAGCCCCAAGTGCCAGTAGGAAGGAGGTCCCCTCCCACATGGGGCTGCCTGAGCCCGGCCCCTCCCACCTTCCCCAGGGCCGCTGGGCTCTGCAGGCAGTCAGAAGTGGGAGCCTTAGCCCAGCGCGGGACTGAAGAGGTTAATGTGCATCTGCCTCCGAATGTTAATGTGTCTAGGTGATGTCAGTGGAGCCGGGAAGGAGGGAGTAGGGAGGGCAGTTGGGCTTGGAGGCGGCAGAGGTTCCCAGGCTGCTGGGGAAGACCCCCTTCCCGACTGCGGGACTGCGGGGCTCGTGGCTCGTGCTCCGTGCTCTGGGACAAGGCGGGTGCTGGAGGCTGCCGCAGCCTGCGTGGGTGGCCTGGAGCTCAACTCAGGGGAGCAGGCGACCAGCACCAGCTGGATGGACCTGGACGCCTCGCTGCTGCCCACTGGCCCCAATGCCAGCAACACCTCTGATGGCCCGGATAACCTCACCTTGGCGGGTAAGTCGAGTTGGGGGAGTCCTCCTTCCTCTGGGCTGGGGGTGGGCAATGGGAAGCTGTCACCCCTGAGCCAAACTGCTTGGGAAACTTTATTACAGTTCTTGGGGACGAGATCTGCAGTCCGCTCTGCCGGGTGGGGAAGGGGAGAAGCAGGCAGGGGCGGGCGGGAGCAGAGGAGCAGAGGAGAGGGCAAAGGCACATTCAGAAGTGGCAAGGAATGGTGGCCAGCCGCGAGGGAGGCAGAGGAAGGCTCGCTGATGAGTTCCAAATATGCTTTGCAGAAAAATTTCCAGGCTGGAAAAGCAAGCAGGAGCGGCTGGGGGTGGGGTGCGGGAGACGGCGGGGGCTCACTGGCTGCTGCCCTTGGCTTCTTCCTGGCACTTCGGGGATGGGGTCTGAGACATCCCCGCTGGCCCCTGGGAGAAGCCGTGGGGAGGGAGGGCTTCACTGAGCCATGACGGGATTAACTTTTCTGGTGAATTAAGCTTCCTGACATTTCCAGGGCTGCGAAGCCCTGGGATTCTAGCTTTGAAGGCGAAGGGAAGGAAGGCAAAGAGGAAAGGTTTGTGTGGGGAAATCCTCAGGCTGCCGAGCTGCGGCACACGCATCCCCGCTCCGCTCGGGAAGCCCAGGCTCAGAGGACACCGACCAAGGAAATCCCTGAGCCTAGGAAGCCTGGAGCCGGGAGGGCGGCTGTCCTGACCCAGGCACAGCCGGCTTTGCGTCTGTCTGTAAGACAGTCGCCCACAGACAGGCCCAGGAATCAGTACACAGTGTCCAGCCAGCGCTCTCTAAGATGAAATGATCAGGGCTGTGAACAGGAAGAGAACACACACACACACTTTCACGTCCTCCTGGCTATTTAGACGAGGATTCCTGGAGAAGCCCAGGGGTGCGCAGAGTAATCCTCTGACAGCTGTGGTTCTTGGCCCCCCTGCAGGAGGCAAGGGATCAGGTCCTTCAACTACAGGTGGCTGCAGAGAATCTGGTAGAATTCCCCAGGAAGCCAGTAGGGGAGGGCAAGGGGACAGGATTAGCAACAGTGCGGGGAGGGAGAATGGCAGAAGAGGACAGGTGGATGGTGGGACCTGGGCTGAAACTGGGGGATGAAAGGTAAGCAAGAGAGTAGCGGGAGGCTGAGCACAACAGCAGGACGTCAGCCCTAAGAGCTGAGCCCATGTCAGATGGACAGCACCTGCTCCCTCTGTCCCCAGGGTCGCCTCCTCGCAGAGGGAGTGTCTCCTACATCAACATCATCATGCCTTCGGTGTTCGGCACCATCTGCCTTCTGGGCATCATCGGGAACTCCACGGTCATCTTCGCGGTCGTGAAGAAGTCCAAGCTGCACTGGTGCAGCAACGTCCCCGACATCTTCATCATCAACCTCTCGGTGGTGGACCTCCTCTTTCTCCTGGGCATGCCCTTCATGATCCACCAGCTCATGGGCAATGGTGTCTGGCACTTTGGGGAGACCATGTGCACCCTCATCACCGCCATGGACGCCAACAGTCAGTTCACCAGCACCTACATCCTCACCGCCATGGCCATCGACCGCTACCTGGCCACAGTCCACCCCATCTCCTCCACCAAGTTCCGGAAGCCCTCTATGGCCACCCTGGTGATCTGCCTCCTGTGGGCCCTCTCCTTCATCAGCATCACTCCCGTGTGGCTCTATGCCAGGCTCATCCCCTTCCCGGGGGGAACGGTGGGCTGCGGCATCCGCCTGCCCAACCCGGAGACTGACCTCTACTGGTTCACCTTGTACCAGTTTTTCCTGGCCTTTGCCCTGCCCTTCGTGGTCATCACGGCCGCGTACGTGAGGATCCTGCAGCGCATGACGTCCTCGGTGGCCCCTGCCTCCCAACGCAGCATCCGGCTGCGGACAAAGAAGGTGACCCGCACAGCCATCGCCATCTGCCTGGTCTTCTTCGTGTGCTGGGCGCCCTACTACGTGCTACAGCTGACCCAGCTGTCCATCAGCCGCCCAACCCTCACCTTCGTCTACCTGTACAATGCGGCCATCAGCCTGGGCTATGCCAACAGCTGCCTCAACCCCTTTGTGTATATCGTGCTCTGCGAGACGTTCCGCAAACGCTTGGTCCTGTCAGTGAAGCCCGCGGCCCAGGGGCAGCTTTGCACCGTCAGCAACGCTCAGACAGCTGAGGAGAGGACAGAAAGCAAAGGCACCTGATGCTTCCCCTGCCACCCTGGACACCTCGAAGTCAGGACACTGCAGCAAACCACAGGGAGAGATGCCGAGAAAAACCCACGACTGCTCTGGAGGGATGCGGTAGTGAGGGGTTGTTGCAACCAAATACATCCATTTCATGGGGCTCATGAATTGCTGGGGAGGCTTGGAGCCAGGTGTGGGGGCTTCAGACTTCAGAAATCCCCTTGGGGAAGCAGGCCTTTGGTGGGAACAGAAACTGAGTAAAAAGAAAATTTTGACTTGAATGTTCAGTGGAGCCCTGTAACTGTTAGCTCCCAAATGTCTTTTTCCCAAAGGAAGAGATGGAAGGCTCCTGGCTGGGCTTGTTGAAATCAGGCAGGGCACGTTGCACAGGGCCTGGGGAGATGGGAAAGTGGCAAGGCTCCGTCCCGTCTCATTGGGATGACAGAAGGCAGGCTTTCTCCCAAGCCGAAGGATGATGAAAAATGAAGCATGCCGTCTCTCTGTGTTCCAGCATCATGTGTGGCTTTCCCTTCCTCTCTAGGGGAGGGGACGCATGTTTATGTTGGCGGGTAGGGCTCTAAGCCCCCAGGAGTAAAAGCCCAATTTGCTTAGGAGATTCACTTACTGAGAATGACAAGGCGACCTTGGGCGGGTGTGGGTGTGGGTCTTGAAACTGATAAAAATGGGGGGAGGGGGTTGCAGGGACATTCTCTCCATGGGGCACATTCCCTCGTCAGTCACTAGTCCAGAGTGCATCCGCGTGTTCTGCATGTGCAGGGTCATTTCAGTGCCTGGGGAGTTGGCATCATCTTTTTGCTCTAGTCCTTTCTCTCCAAAATAAAAATGAATAAAGGAAAATCTCTACCCACATCACTATGGATGTTTCTGCATAATTGCTGGGGCTTCGGTTGGGAGTGGGTAGCAGGAAAGGAAAGGAGGGGTCACTTGTCTATGGAAGTGAGAACTTGGTTCAGGCTCCATGTTTACGGGGCATGAAGCTGGGGATCTATTTTTCTAAACCTGCAGGGAGGATTCAGTGACATAAATGGAATTGCTAGAAGTTCATTAGATTGCAGTTCTGCTGCTGGGCTTGTTCTCAGGACTCAGCTTCCTGTCTTCTGCACAAAAGTTCCTGAAATCTGTTGTCAAAAGCGCTGGGCCCCCCAGGTCTCCCAGTCCTACCCTAACCTCCCCCGCTGAGTCACTAACCTTGGGGAAGCCTGAGCCTGTCTCTGTGGCTGCGGCTGAGATCTGCTGTGGGCACCTTGAACAGCGGAGGTTTTAGCCAGGGCCACTGGGAGGCAGCCACGGCTGCTGCTTCTCAGCTTCTTCCCCAGGAGAAGATAGAGCCGGGAGTCCTCAGCGTGATGCACAATAGACCTAGTGAAATAGGGAAGCAAAACGAAAGCACCCCGGCTTGTCCAGGGTGTCCTTAGAGCAGGCACCTCAGCACAGCCCGTTCCCCTTCCTGCAGGATATTCTCCATTGCGGAGCTGCACAGGCAGCCTGTCTAGAAAACTTCTGGGCAGCTTCCTTGGGTCCTGGGGAGCTCTTTGCATCATCATCATCAGTAGCAGTAGTTCCTGGCTGAGTGCCAGGCGGAGAAAAAAGCGGATGGTTAATTTTCCTAACTCGCTAACAATGCAGTCTCCAGCTGCCATAGGTAAGCTCGAAACCTATTTTAGAAGCACGTCCAATAAGAAAAGAGATTCTTAGGGCAGCATTCAAGCAAACGCAAGAAGCCCCACTCCCAGCCACTAGGAAAAGAGGTTTTCCTGCACCTGGTTTGTGTACTGGAGGCTTCCCCAGGTATCTCCCATCCTCCCCTGAGCCTCTCACCCCCAGCCTCCAAGGAGGAATCTGGGAGAGGAAATAGCTGAGACAGCCTCTCCCAGGAAACACACGTGACTGAGTCAACAGCTCAGTGGGTGGTGGGCACACACCCAGCCGAGGCCCAGCAGCTCGGGGAAGGGAGCATCCTGTCCTCTCAACCCCGCACCGAAGCAACTGAAATGGAAGCAAAGTGGGTGGAGACACGGAAGTGAGTGGGTGGTAATGTAAACTGAGGCGGCTGAGGGAGAGATGAAGTCAGAGAGAACAGGGGTACAGGGGAAAGGGGGCCAGGGAGGCTCAAAGAGGTGGGGACATTATGATGGAGGGGTACTGTCACCAACACATCTGTCCCCAGCCTGAGCGGCAGTGACCTGAACACACTTGAGATGTTCAGGATAAGATACACACGTGCAGAGGTGAGGGGTGGGCTGCTGGTGGGACTGTCCTCCTGACATCCTTGGTAGGACTGGGGGACCGGGGGTAGGGCTGGGGTCTGAGGAATGAATGGAACCTTCCTTTCCTTCTCTTTCAACCTGGGGTGTGGGTCCCCAGAACTGTGGGGAGCTATGGGGGCCACGGTGAGATGCAGAGTCCAAGGGGGTGTGAAGACCACGTGCAAAGGGATCTCTCTGTCCCCTTTCCCCTCCCCACGTCTAACAAGCAGTTTCTCCCAGTGGGTGCCACCAAATCAGCTCCCCAAACCCAGTCAGTGCTCCCCTTGTCTTTTCCCCAGAAAATATTCCCTCTCCAACCGTAAGTATTACGTTCCTGTAATCCCCCACGGTAGAAGAGCTCCACAGCTGAAGGACTTTGACCCGGAAGATCAGTTAAAGCAAAGTTGCAAGTGAACTCGGGGAAGCGCTTCCACACACTGACATTCAAAAGGAAGAATAAGAGCACAGGATACAGTGACCAGCGATGACTTCTTATTTGCTTCTGCACTACCAGTTTTAATTTTATTATTTTGTGTTGTAAATATATATATAACATGAAATCTATTTTAACCATTTCAAGTGTAGAGTTCAGTGGCATTAAGTACATTCATATTTTTTAAAAATTTTTTTTAGTTGCCTGGCTAATTTTTTCTATTTTTTTTTTTTTTTTTAAGTAGAGACGGGGTCTTGTTCTTGCTGGTCTCGAACTCCTGAACTTAAGCGATCCTCCCGCCTCAGCCTCCCAGAGTGCTAGGGTTACAGGTGCAATCCACTGCCCTGGCCTCATTCACGTTATTGTACAACTGTCACTACCATCCATCTCCAGAACTTTCTCATCCTCCCAAACTGAAACTCCACACTCAGTAAATACTAACTCCCCACTCCCATTCCTGTAGGCCCTGGCACCCACTGCTCTTCTTTCTGTCTTTATGAATGTGACCACTCTAAGTTCTTCATATAAGTGGAATCACACAATATTTGTCCTTTTGTGACAGCCTTATTACTTACTTAGCATGATGTCCTCAGGGTTTACCCATATTGTAATATGTACCAGAATTTTCTTCTTTTTAAAGGCTGGATGATTGCAAGGATGTATCAGGAAAAAATTAAAAATACAGGCTGGATGAGATTCCGTTGTACGTATATTACTACATTTTGTTTACATATTCATCTGTTGTTTCCACCATTTGGCTATTGTGAATATTGCTATTATGAACATGAGTTTACAACTATCTGTTAGAGTTCCTGTTTTCAATTCTTTGGGGCATATACCCAGAAGTAGAATTGCTGGCTCATATGGGAATTCCACTGTTAACCTTTTGAGAAACTGCCATACTGTTTTTCACAGTGGCTGTACCATTTTGCATTCCTGCCTATAATGCACAAGGGTTCCAATTTCTCCACATTCTCACCAACAGTTCTTCTTTTCTTTTCTTTCTTTTTCTTTATTTATTTTAAATAAAAGCCATTCTAATGGGTCTGAAGTGGTTTTGATTTGCATTTCCCTAATGATTAGTGATGTTGAGCATCTTTTCATGTGCTTACTGGCCATTCGTATATCTTCTTTGGAAAAAGTGTCTATTGAAGTCCTGTGTCCATTTCTTAATTGGGTTATTCCTTTGTTATTGTTAACAATGATATTTTATTCAACTCAAACTAGTAATAATTGGTTTTGCATGCCTTGTTGCTAGGAAAAAATAAAATTTAAAAACCTAGGCTCTTTCTCCCTTGCAGTTCAATAAAATCCTTGCCTTTTTTATTTAAACTGAGCATTCAGATGGAGAACTACACATTCCCCCAAATCTCTTCTTCCTTCTAAGCCTATGGGCTGCAATAAGTCAAAGGGATTCAGTGGCTTGAGTTGAGGGTGATGGGCGCCCTCCCCCAAGCGCCCCAGACTCAGGTCTAACAGTCAGAGGACAGCCAAGGGAAGAACTTTCCAGAGGCCAGGGCTGGAATGGATAAGCCACTCACTCAATTATCTGCATAGAGCTGTCTTCTCCATTAGTGATGAGTGGCGACAGTCTCAGAATACACAGAATGGCAATACCCAAAAGAAAAGAGAGTAACTTCTATATTTTTTAGGTCATTCTTGTACTAGACGCTATGCTAAGCACTATATTTTAATAACTCATTTAATTTTCCCAACAATATTTTGTAGTAGACACCCCTGTATGCCCATTTTACAGATGGGTCAAATGTGACTTAGAGAGGTTGACTGACTTGCCCAAGGTCACTGAGCCCGTTGGAAGTGCTGAGATTCAAACCTAGATGTGCTTGATTGCAAAGCCCGATGCGGTATCGCCTCCCCTCAGATCACACCCTTATCCTTAAACTGGGCCCCTCTCACCCCACCCTCCCTAAAACTCTCCTCCCCACTGCTCACACCCCAGACCTCATACTGCCTGCTTTCCTCCTGGCCTGAAGACCCCCTTCTCCCCTCTCCTGGGTCAAATTCGCGCTGGCCCCCTGCTGTGGGTTGAGCTGTGTCCTCTAAAAGAAGCTATGTTGAAGTTCTAACCCCCAGCACCTCAGAGAGCGACCTCATTTGGAAATAGGATCTCTGCTGTTTTAACCAAGTCCAGATGAGGGCATGAGGGTGGGCCTTACTCAAACATGGCTGGTGTCCTTATGCAAAGGGGCAGTGTGGACACAGGGACAGACGTGCCCAGAGGGAGGCTGACGTGAAGACACGGAGAACACGGCAGAGGCAAGAGTGAGAGTGGCGCACCCACAGCCAGGGGACGCCTGAGCACTGGAACCCAGGCGAGAGTCAGGGCACAGATCCTTCCCTCGCGCCCGCAGACAGAGCATGGCCCTGCCAACACCCTGAACTCCGACTTCCGGCCTCCATAACTGGGAGTCGGTCATCCCGTTGGTTTAAGCCATGCAGCTTGTGGCACTTCCTTAGGGCCGCCAGGGAAGGTGATTCGCCGTCCAGGGCTCACCTCGGATGCCGTCTTGTCTGGAAGGACCTGGGCCTCCCCCAGAGATTAAACACTGCCTCTCCGGGGTCCCCAGAGCTCCTGCACGAGCCTCCCTTCGCTCAGTCACCCCACTGCCCACGCGCTGTTAGTGCTTCTGCCTCCGGCCCCAAGTCCGAGCCCCTGGGAAGGGCCGTGTCCTTCGCATTCTTGGTTTCTCAGCCTCTCTCACAGGCTCCTCCAGCGCCGGGGCTCAAGGGATGTCTCAATAAATGCACCATCCATGACGACTACAGAATCACGAGGTTGCAAGGCCTGGCAGCGGTCCTCTGGTCCAACCCAGTGTTAACAAATTGCCAGGACGCTCTGGCTAGGGACCAACACTCACTCGAAGATCTTGGAAGCAGAGCCCGCTCCTGGCCCTCCGCAGCCTCTCCGTGCAGCCCCCTGCTCCCGGCGCTCTTGCTCCTCAAAGCCGCCGCACCCCCTGCTCTCCCTGGAAGCTCAGTGCAGGTAAATCCCTGGCCCCCTGGCCTTGGCAAGTGACTCTCTTGAGCCTGCTTTCCCATCTGTAAAACGGGATAATAACACCTACCTCGCGGGGTTGTCAGGATGATTAATGAGATGGTGAGTATGCAACCCGAGCGATCCCTGGGCTCACGTTAACCTGAAATAGTCATATAAACCAACTTAAGCCTCCAGCCAGCCCGGGGCATCTCTGTGGGGGGTCACAGGCAGGTCCTATGTGTCTCCTGCTGCCTCTGGCTCAGGTCCCTCTGCTGGACTGCCACCACCTCTCTAAACTGCTCTAGTTAGTTCTCTGCAGGTGGCTTCACCACAATGCAGCCAGCACTAGCTCAAGCCTGAGGGTGGGGCTCCGGGATTGTGAAAGCAAGGAGGGAGAAGGGGCGAGAGACCAGAATCAGAAAGGACAGGAGCTGGCTGGCAGCTGTCCGGATCCCCGGGGCGGGGAGGTGGTGGGAGGAGGCCTTCCTGCCCTCTCCTTCCAGGCTTGGCCTGCTGCCCCCTGTCCAAGCCGTGGACACTAGACAAGATCCCTTTTCCTATTTCCCATTCCCTCTGTCCTCCCAATCCCAGGGCCTCCAAATCTCCTCTCTTTTGGCCAACAGGGAAGAAATCCACAGTTCGATGTAAAAGGCAACATTGTTCATGCCAAGGAAGACACCCTCTTACTCTGTTACGCAGAGCAACCCCTGTGTCCTAACCTCTCTTATTGGGGAAAGGGGAGAAGAGATGCTTTATCTTTGCATCCCCCCCAAAAAAAAAAACCTGTTAAATGCTTGTCAAACAAAAATATTAGTAACTTACCTAACAGAAGTTCCATCCATGATCCTTAGAGAAGAGGCCAACAAGTAGCTGTTGAGGGGCTGCATCTGATCCACAGGTATAATTTTTTGGTTTTTCTCTTGCTTAGTATAAAAAAGTTTGAGGCGTAGTTGTCACTTTTTGAATTTGTAGCTTTACTTACAATCTGCGTGCTCAGCTTCTGTGGAAACATCAGAAGATCTGGCCAGTGTCTGCCTCGCACGTGCCAGCCACCTGCTGGATGCAAGAGACCACGCCCTGAGACAGGCACCCCCAGTTTGCCATGGTCCCAATCCTCCCTGCTCAGCCAGCTCCATTTATTTAAGTCCCTTGCCTGCACCCTACAGACATTAAATTTCATATGCCTTGGCCCGGCTTTGGCTTTGTGAGCCACATCAATGATTTTGGTATTTATACCAAATCCAGGGGAAACCATCAAAAGGTTTCAAACGTATGAGATATATGATTAGATTTGCATCTTTAAATCATAGCTATAGATTCTGTATAAAGGATGGGTTGGAAGGGGCTATAAAATGAAAGCAAGGAGTCCAGGTGACAGCAGCAATGGTAGAGTCCTGGATTAGGGTGGTGGCAGCAGAGATGGAGAGAGGTGGACACACATAGGATGCATTTGTAAATTAGAAGCCAAGCCACAGGCCCTGGGATGAGTTGGGTGTGGAGGGTGAAGGGGAAAGAGTTGAAACAGGGAAACTGAAGGGGCAGCAGACTTGTGGGGGGGAACATAAAAAGTCCATTTGGGGTTTGTTTATGTGTGAGAAGCCCAAGTGTCCCCTTGATTTCAGAAGAGCCAGGCTGGAAGTACAACTGCTAGCCTGCAGGTAGATGAGTCAGCCCCAGGGAGAGAAGGGACCTGAGTCCTGGGAAATTCCACCAAGCAGAGGCTGCGCAGAGGAAGAACAGCTAGCACAGGAGCCTGCAAAGGAATGGCCAGAGGGGTGAAGGGAAACCAAGACAGTGTGGCATCCTGGGAGCATGAAGCGAGGGGTCCAAGGAGGGGTCGACTGGACCAAAGCTGCCTGTAGGAGGCAGGTAGATGAGGCAGGGAAGGGTCTACTGGATTTAAGATCACGGCGGTCAGTGGGGATGCAGCTGGCAGGGCTGAGGAGCGGCCGCCCCTCTCAGGGAAGCAAATGCCCCTTACTTTGCCACAATCCGCACCACTCCCTACTGACCCTTGGCCTGAGTCACTCATTACTCCTCCTCATCTGGCTCCTGGGAGCATTCGTGACTTTGTCTCAGAGCGGTTAAGTACTGATTTGCAGCATGATTTTCAAAGGTGATTTTCCTTCCTGCTAAACATAGACAGCACTTAACACTATGCCTAGCACTTAATAAATGCTAGTGGCTAATTACATCCCTCTTTCCTGCCCTGTCCTCCATTAACCCCCACAGGATGCCCTGGAATCTTTTCCTTCTTCTCTGGTTGATTGTAAATAACTTAAAAGCCTCACCCCTGCCCTGTGGTCTCCTCCAGCCACTTGACCTGTGTCCTGCTGGCCTCCGTGAATCCTCCTCACCCTCCGGCTCAGTCCTCTGCTTCTCCACGAAGCCCCCACAGCCACTCCAGCCACAGATAAATCCATCATTCTCTGGACTTGCCACTTATTGCACAATTAATCTTGCTCTATCCTGGGACTTGGATGGTTTTTTACTTTTTGCGAATTATTGCTTTATCTCTCCCAACGCCACCATAAGCTTGTGGCTAGGGAGGTATCTTTCTTCTTATGCCAGCAGCTTTTACACATCGCCTTGGCCATAGGAGCTACTCGCTGCAATAGTGGTTGATTGATAACTTGTTTCCGCTCCTTCCCTAGAAGTGGACACATATTGTTTTGTCTGCTGAGTCCGTCTTCCTTTTCCAAGAAATGTCCACTATCTCTCCTCCACTCGTGCTCCGCCATCCTCGTGTTCACAGCATCACTTCTGCGCCGTAAAGGAAGAGGAGACGTAATGGCCCCGCCCATCCACTTCTCTCTGGGTCCCAGAGGGGAGCGTGCGGGGTGTCTGCCACCACGTTCTTGCATGACAGCAGCAGCTATGGCCAACGCTGATTGAGCGTGTGCCAGAGACTGTTCAAAATGGCACATAAAGTTTTCATTCAAGCTCATTAAACCCCCTACACGCACCTGTAGTCTAGCTCCTCGGGAAGCTGAGGTAGTGGGAGCCCCTTGAGCCCAGGAGTTCGAGGCCAGCCTGGGCAACATAGCAAGACTCCGTCTCCAAAAAAAAAAAAAAAAAAAACCGCAAAAATAAAAAATATTTTAAAGTCATACTAGATTCTTACAAGGTAGTTAATATTATTATCCCCATTTTACAGATGAGGAGACCAAGGCAGCCCTGCTGTCTGTCATGTCTCCTGTGTGGTACTGAGGGTTCTCCCATTTGACTCTCTCTCTTGTCCCCTCACCACGAGTCTCTTCATCCTCCCGGCCACCTCCACGTCACAGTCCAGACTGTTTCCCACCAACACGCCTTTCTTCCTGTTGTTCCGCTTGCCTGGGAACACCACCCTCCCTTTTTTGCCTGAGTAACTCTTACTCAATCTTTAAGACTTAGGTCGGGCAGCGTCTCTTCCAGGAAGTCCTCCTTCAACAGCGTCTCCCCTCTGAGGTGAGGGAATCGGCACCATCTCTCCATCATGCTCCGAGAACAATGCCCCGGGCTTCCCTCTGGGGTTGTACTGAGCACATTGCGACTGGAAGCTCTGTCGACTTAGTTGTGCCTCTGTAGACCCCGGGCTCCATGAAGACATGGTCTGTAGGGCCCAGCCCTGAGCCTGACGCAGATTAAGGGCAGAGTTCTCCTCCAATCCAGTGTCGCAGTTAATGCCACCCGTGGATAAACTGTGCCTCCTGTGCCAGCCTCCCAGAACCTCTAGAGAGTAAGAGCCCCAGAGAGCTTTGATCCAACAAACTGAAACCTACGAGGTGCTGTCACTGGGATGGAAATGGCAGCATCCAGAAGGACAGTGATGAGTGCTGTCAGGGAAGCGGAGAAATCGGAACCCTTAGACGCTGCCTGTGGGCATGTCAGATGGTGCAGCCAGTGTGGGAAACAGATGAGCAGTTCCTCAAAACGTTAACTATAGAGTGGCCACGTAACTCAGGAGTTCCACTGCCAGGTATACACTCAAGAGAATCGAAAACAAGCCCACACAAAAACTTGTACACAGGCCAGGCGCGGTGGCTCATGCCTGTAATCCTAGCACTCTGGAAGGCCGAGGAGGGAGGAACGCTCAAGGTCAGGAGTTCAAAACCAGCCTGAGCAAGAGTGAGACCCCCATCTCTACTAAAAAAATAGAAATAAATTAATTGGCCAACTAAAAATATATACAAAAAAATTAGCCAGGCATGGTGGCACATGCCTGTAGTCCCAGCCACTCGGGAGGCTGAGGCAGAAGGATCGCTTGAGCCCAGGAGTTTGAGGTTGCTGTGAGCTAGGCTGATGCTATGGCACTCCAGCCCGGGCAACAGAGTGAGACTCCGTCTCAAAAAAAAAAAAAACCAAAAAAAAACCAAAAACTTGTACACAGATGTTTATAGCAGCGTGACTCATAATAACCAAAAGGTTGAAGCCCCTAAGTGTCCATCAAAATGTGGTAAATTCATACAATGGATATTATTCAGCCATAAAATAGAATGAAGTATTGACACATGCTACTACCTGAATGAAGCTTGGAAATATTAGCTAAATAAAAGAAGCCAGTCACAAAAGATCTCATATTGCATGATCCCACCCAGACTAAATGTCCAGAATAGGCAAATCCATGGAGACATCAAGTAGATTAGTGGTCCCAGGGGCTGGGGGGAGGGAGAGAGTAGAAGTGACTGCTGACAGGTACATGGTTTCTTTGCGGGGGGGGGTCATAAAAATGCTCTGGAATTAGCGGTGATGGTTGCACAACTTTGTGAATATACTAAAAAACCACCAAAATGTACCCTTTAAAAGGATATTTCTGGCATGTGCACTATATCTCAATTTTAAAAAAGGTGTCATTCTATAACTTGTTTGACTTGAAAAAAACAGGTGTCAGAGTATGCAAAGCTGAGAGAGGCAGAGCCTGTGGGGGTGACGGGGAAGGCAGGGCAGTAAGAACATCAATGGCCCACAGGCCTCGAGTGCTGGCTGTGCATCAGGCATGGGCTGAATGGTTCACACGAATTATCCTATTTAAGCCTATTTAAACAATTCTATGAGGCAGGTTCTAATATTACTCCCATTTTACATTATTTTTTTATTTTTTATTTTTTTTTTGAGACAGAGTCTCACTCTGTTGCCTGGGCTGGAGTAGCTCACAGCAACCTCAAGCTCCTGGGCTAAAGCAATCCTTCTGCCTCAGCCTCCCAAGTAGCTGGGACTACAGGCATGCGCCACCATGCCCAGCTAATTTTATCTACATATATTAGTTGGCCAATTAATTTCTTTCTATTTATAGTAGAGACGATGTCTCGCTCTTGCTCAGGCTGGTTTTGAACTCCTGACCTTGAGCATTCCTCCTGCCCCAGCCTCCAGAGTGCTAGGATTACAGGCATGAGCCACCGCACCTGGCCTACTCCCATTTTATAGGTAAGGAAATTGAGACCTCAGAGAAGTCAAGTGACCTGTCAAGGCACACCTGGGATGTGGCTGAACCAAGGGCTCACAGCTGTGCCAGAAAGGGATACTGCCTCATGCAGGGACAAGGCTAGGAGACGCTGAAAAAGTCTTCACATCTCATCGGGGGTCCAAGACACTGGAAAAGGATTTGAAGTGTAGATAGGACTCTGACAAGCTGAGATGGAGAAAAGCAAGTTTCAGACAAGTGGAAATAACTGAAGTAAATATTAAACAGGGAAAAGTGGGAAAGGATGAGTATATTTGTGGAACTGTGCTGAACACTACTGGTGACCGCCCAATATGCATGCCCCCTTCTTCCTTGCCAACAGAACCCCCAGGCCACAGACCATAATCAGTCCAAACCTGCCAGGACAATCCTTTGCCAGCTTTGCCAGCCTCCCTTACAGCCAGGGGTGACCAACAGGACCTAAGCAGAGGTCTACTGTGGGTACTTCTGGAAAAAGCTTTGCTTTCTTCATAAAAGGAAACAGATACGGTTGGTACCATCTGGGCTCTTCTTTGTTTCCCCCTGCCTTGAATGCAGATGCATCACCTGCAGCTGCAGACACTATGTGGGGACTGTAAGAACACACGCCCATGTGCTAAGGTCAGTGGGGCAA